TGGATTCTAGATATTGGTGCCACAGACCACTTTTGTCCCAGTAAGTCATCTTTTCTATCTCTTAAAGAAATCAAACCTATTCATGTTAGATTGCCTAACAATAGTTCCATTGTTGCTTCCCATTCTGGCAATATTCAATTAGGAAACCTATTTCTTAGAGATGTCCTATATATTCCAACTTTTTCTGTACATCTGATTTCTATCTCCAAGTTACTCAAAACCATTCCTTGCTTCCTTCTCTTCTCTTCTAACATGTGTTTCATTGTGCAGAGCTCCAATTTCAAGAGGATTGGAGTAGCTGAAATGTACAATGGACTTTTTCATTTGAAGGAATTCAGTGCCTTGGGAAAGATCAATTGCTTTTCAGATTCTCTTTCACTTAGTCTTCTAGATAGTACTTCTACTGTTTTAGAAAGTACTGTTTCTGAGAATTCTCTTGTAAATACTGTTAATAATTCAATGATATGGCACAACAGACTTGGTCATTCTTCAAATAAAGTGTTGAAAATTCTGAATTCTAAGTATAATGACATTTCTTCTTCTTACTTACAACCTTGTGATGCTTGTCATTATGCTAAACAAAAGAAGCTTTCTTTTCCTCTCAGTAATAGCATTTCAATTTCATTTTTTGAGATGATCCATGTTGATATTTGGGGACCATATAGTATTCCTTCTTTTGAAGGATACAGATTCTTTTTAACTGTAGTGGATGATTTTAGCAGATTTACTTGGGTTTATTTACTCAAAACTAAATCTGAAGTTCAAACAGTTCTTCCCAGTTTCATTATTCTTATCCAAAATCAATTCTCAACAAAACTTAAAAAGCTAAGATCTGACAATGGGAAAGAATTCTTTCTCAAAGATTTCTTTGAGCAACATGGAATCTTTCATGAAACTTCCTGTCCTGAAACCCCTCAGCAAAATGGCATTGTTGAAAGAAAACATCAACACATCTTAAACATTGCCAGAGGTCTCCTTTTTCAATCCAAACTTCCCCTATATTTCTGGGCTCATGCCATAAGACACTATGTTTACATCATAAATAGATTACCAACACCCTTCTTACAAAATAAATCTCCATATGAGATGGTATTTGGAAACTTGCCAGATTTCTCTAATCTGAAAACCTTTGGTTGTCTGGCATTTGCTAATACTCTGAATGCTGGCAGAACTAAGTTTGATAAAAGAGCTTCCAAATGTATTTTTCTTGGATACAAAGCTGGAACCAAAGGTTTCTTGCTTTTCAATCTTCATTCTCATTCTGTTCTTGTGTCTAGAAATGTTATTTTTTATGAAACAACTTTTCCTTTTGCTCTAGACCAAAGTCAGATTGATGACTACACTCAGTCTCCGGTTTCTTATTCAAACTTTGATTCTTTAATTGACACCGACTTTTCTAATCAAAGTCTGGATTTTCATCAATACTTTACCTCTGTCAATCAACCATCTTCTTCCACTATCCATGAAACTGAAACAGCTGATCAAAACTCATCAGACACTGGAATTCCCAAGAGGACATCAACAAGATATATTAAACCACCTTCATATTTGTCTGACTATTACTGTGGAAATATTTCAACATCATCACCCTATCCCTTGCATTCATATCTTTCTTACTCTAAGTGTTCTTCCAAACATACTTCCTTTTGCCTATCCATTTCTGCCATTTCTGAACCTAAATCTTTCAAAGAAGCTATGAAATCGGATTGTTGGAAAAGGGCTATGATAACAGAAATTGAAGCCTTAGAAGCAAATCAGACCTGGTCATTGGTTTCACCACCTCCAGGAAAGCCTGTTGTAGGTAGTAGGTGGGTTTATAAAGTCAAACACAAGGCAGATGGTACTATAGAGAGATATAAAGCTAGATTGGTGGCTCAAGGATACACACAAACAGAAAGGGTTGATTTCTTTGAAACTTTCTCTCCAGTGGCTAAGATTACTACAGTCAGATTTCTTTTATCCATTGCTGTATCTAAGAATTGGCATCTCCAACAACTAGATGTAGATAATGCTTTTTTACATGGTGACCTCAATGAGGAGGTATATATGAAGCCACCTCCTGGTTTTCTACCTCCCAAATCAGGTTTAGTTTGTAAACTACAAAAGTCCCTTTATGGCTTAAAACAGGCTAGCAGACAATGGAATCAGAAGCTTACTTCTTCACTCATTCAGCTTGGATATACTCAAAGTATTTCAGATTATTCTTTATTCATCAAGAAATCTGATTTATCTTTTACTGCCTTATTGGTTTATGTGGATGATGTTGTTCTTACTGGGAATAATTTGGAAGAAATAAACATGGTTAAAACACATCTTCATAACCAATTTCATATTAAAGATCTTGGAGATTTAAAGTTCTTCCTAGGTTTTGAAGTTGCTAGGTCCAAAGCTGGGTTAATTCTCAATCAGAGAAAATACTGCTTGGAAATTATTTCTGAATTTGGGTTGACAGGATGCAAACCAGCTTCTTCCCCTTCAAATGCTTCTGTCAAACTGAGTGCAGATGACGGAGAATTACTTTCAGATCCTACCTCCTTTAGAAGATTAATTGGAAGACTTCTGTATTTGACCAATACTAGACCCGACATAGCATTTGCAGTACAACAGATTAGTCAGTTTGTTTCCAGCCCAAGAACTCCACACCTGCAAGCTGCCTTACGTATTCTTAGATACTTAAAAGGGTCTCCAGGACTTGGTTTGTATTATGCAGCAAACAATGATCTTAAAATACAAGCTTTTTCAGATTCTGATTGGGCAACTTGTCCTGATAGCAGAAAATCTATAACCGGTTACTGCATTTTTATTGGGACATCCTTGATTTCATGGAAAGCCAAAAAGCAAACAACAGTGTCAAGAAGTTCCACTGAGGCTGAATATAGAGCTCTAGCCTCTCTTGTTTGTGAACTACAGTGGATTAAATATCTCTGTGATGATCTAAACTTGACAATCTCTACTCCTTACTGCACATTCTCAGACAATCAATCTGCTATTCAACTAGCTAAGAATCCCTCTTTTCATGAAAGAACAAAACACATAGAGGTTGATTGTCATCTCATACGCACCAAGATTCAAGAAGGATTGATACTGCTGTCTCATGTTCCATCTAAGTCTCAACTAGCTGATTTGTTTACAAAAGCCTTATATCCTGCTACATTTCAAGAGAATCTATCCAAGCTTGGACTTATGAATATTCATAGTCCATCTTGAGAGGGGGTATTAGGATAATATAGTCATAGTCAAACTGGTCAACAGTCAAAATGTATTTTCATTTTCATTTTCTTTTATTCAGTTTGTTAGAGTTTGTTACTCGGTTAATACTCTAAGACTTTGTATAAAAGAAAGGATGATCTGTATCTTCTTCTTCAATGAACAATAGATGAATTTTTCTGCTTTCCATTTCTAAGAAATCTTTCACGAGGCTAGATTACCTGGTACCGCACTACCGCCATAGAAATTAGGAATTTAATGGGCTTCCCACAAAAGTTGAATTACTTTTTTTTGGAAGACAAAAGTTGAATTACTAGAATTTATTTTTCCACTTCCATCTAGAATTACTTTTATGTTTTATCCTCATTATACTTGTCACGCCTTTAAACTTTATAAAACAACTCAACTTGTGTTTGCTCTTTCCTGATATAACATGTCTATTTAATGAAGTTTTACGCGCGTATGATTGATTATTTTCTACATCCGGTTAACAATTTAACATGTGTCATTTGAATTTTGTCATAAAAAAATATGTGTCCTTTGAATCAACGCTTAGCTTAATTAATTACCAAGTGCTAGGCTTCATTTTAGACGTTTCCCTTTGTGTAGCTATATATATTTCAATTCAAATATTCGAACAGTAAAGTAATAGGAAAATAAAATTACGGAGTATTATGTTTTGTTCTTAATAACAGTAACTAGTCATTTTACAGTTTTACACTCACATATATGTTTTGACATTATGAGATTCTAAATGAAATATGACATTATATACCATCATTTCTCATTCTTTTAATATAAAAAAAGAATCATAATTCTCATATTTTGAAATCATAAAGCATTTCACATCCATCCAGGCCATTTTCTTCTAACAAAAAATCTAAATACTCTTGATTCTAGAAGACAAAAAAGTAGCTAGTCACTCAAAATATAAGTCAAATATATAAATGGTACCTTAACTATTGGTAAATTTGCATTTTGGTACCGTAACTTTTAAATGAATCAAAGTAGTACATTAACTATACATAAATATTTTAATTTGAGTTTTATTCAAATTTCCGACCAAAAAATCCTTCATGACGATCAAAATTTCATGTGTAGAGTCACACTATAGTGATCATATGGACAAAACTAAGGTGAAGTAGACTTTACGCATATAATTATGGCTGCCACGTGTGACTTTTTAGTCAGGAATTTGTATAAAATCTCAATTAGAATTTAGAAACATTTACGTATAGTAAGGTACCGATTCATTTAAGAGTTAAGATATCAAAATGCAACATTACTTATACTTAATGTACAATTAATATATTTGACCCCACAATATACATTTAGCCTAACTATCTTTACGTATTCTATGGGCCTAGAGCTGTCTCCTTCGTTTGCTTATATCCTTCCTAATAATTTGAAGGACCGCCCTAGCTAGAAATGCAAACTATGAAGAATAAGATAAACTATCCAATTATAACCAGATTGTTATTAGGAGGTAAATGAATAACTTAAGTTACAAAATAACGTAAAGTGGGCCACAAAGATAGAAAATAAGTATGCCAGCTAGCTTAATGTAACATGCAAGAAATGATTGGGATCGAATTACCTAATATGAATTGAAGGATGGGTGGTTTAATTTGTTGAAACGCAGACTGAGATATAAGACCATCGAAGACCACACACATCTCACCTAACCAACAAAAACGACTCAGCAGCAGAGGCCATTAGGGCTAATTAACTACATTCTAATATAATCTCTCTTAATTATCTATATATAATTGTATGTAAATCCCTTATATATACTCTTGCCTTGTCCGGTCATTTGACAAACCAGCTTCACGTACTACTATACTAACAAAGTTATTCTTTTTGCACTGCTTCTAGCTAGCTAGCTAGAAGTCCAACAGAAGAAGAATCAACACGGACCAAATAGAACGTAAAGTTACATACTATGGAGTGTTCTTGGTTTCGGGTCGTCGTCCTCCTCGCCTGCGTGTTTCCGGCGATCGTCGAATGCCGGGTTCGACACTATAAGTTTGATGTAAGTATATGCATACTCCGAAAAGTTTTTTTTTTCTCACAAATTTGTTAAATTATACTACCTCGGTCCCTTAATTAATTAAAATCCTGATTTGACTTCACACATATTTTAATTGATCGTGTGGATAATGTATGACACTTTGGAGATACCTTAATTAGAAATAGTGTTAAAGTTCAATTTAATTAATTTATTGAAGGACATTATTAGTGGAGGTCAAACATTAGTACTACACGACATGCATGCATTATTGAGACTATAGAAGTTAATATCCCGTACATATATAGCAGCATGCAATAATGTTAAGGCTGCTTGTGGGGAAATTCATGTTTTGAGAAAAACAATGATACTCTTCATTCAGACTAATTAAGTTATTTGGAGTACTGAGTATTTTATTCTTATTTGAAGAATGTTCTAAATAAAAGAAACTCAAAATACTACGGAGTATTACGTACTACGTATTACGTATCTTAATTATTTAATTATTAAAAACAGTAAGTAAAAGATGAAGCATAAAATGATACAAAATAAACATCAACTCTTTTCTTGCTTAGTGAAACACTGAGACCACATGAAATAATTAAACTCCATTTGCTCCTAAATGAGCATTGTGAGTCCAATTGATAACATTGAAATCGGTACAATCTGCTAAATAATGAAAAATTAGATTTAAAATATATTTTATTAATAAAGTACACTAACAATATACGAAAGTAACTCCAGCTTCACTTATTTTTATTACTCCGTATTAAGAATGAATGTGCAAAATTAAAAGTTATGTATTTGTCAATAAAAGTCGATTGAAAAAACTGATAAGTTAAAACTGAAATTAATAATTGGCATACTTAATTCATGTCTCTCTAATTAAGTATATAGCTCCGATCCATTATTGTCTATAGGAAGAAGAATTCCAGACTCGATCTTGTAAATAAAGATGAAACTGCTCAACGATTTATTTAGCTGATTAGTATCAAAATTAAAAGTAACTTTCTGATTAGTTAGTGGAGTGGTTGATCTAAACTACAAAATTAGTTGAAGCAATGACGTTTTGAATATACATTACCATTAAAAATGAGATCAGCCTGTACGGCACTCTAAATAACCTTAGATAATGTTATGAAGTACTACCTCCCTCAATTAAAGTCTAATTTTGACTTTTGAGTCAAATTTGTTAAATTCTGTTCTTTAGTTATTCAAACGTTAATAATATTTTATCACACAAAATTGATTTTATATGCTTCATTGTAACATGTATTGTTCAAATATCAATTTGTTATAAATTATATAGTTATATATTTATAGATAATTACGGTCAAACGTCCGCCTAGGAGATCGCAAAATCAAACTGGGACTTTAATTTTTGGAGGAGGGAGTATTATATTATGGTTGTTGTTAATATATTGTTGGGATGTTTTTTAATTAGACTGATTTAAGTTGTTAATCGGACTGAAATGAATCAAATAAAATCAGGTCAAGTCATATCAGATTCGAACCGTTGTAAAATACATATAAAACATACATATACTTGATCACACCACCAGAGCAAACTTAAATGAATCAGATAAGACCAAACTAGACCGAACCCGCTTTCGAAATTTTGTTGCAATAAAGATCAAAGAACATCATATCCTTATTATAAGTTGTATCCCTAGAAATTTTATCAATTCAAGACCTGAAAGATAGATGAATTACCGATACGGGACTTGAAAGATGAAATGTGTCAGTATAGGGCCCGAAAGATTAAAAATGATCACTCTAGGACCTCAAAGGCTCAAATTCCATAGGTTTTGATTTATTTAATTTTTTTAGGAATTGTATTGCTAATTTTGTATGATTTTTTTTCACAAAAGTTTATTAGTTTTTTTTCATGGAAAAGTTTATTAGTTTGATAAAGTTAAATACTATTTTTATTTTTTAAATTAAAGAAATACTAAAATTCAATACAACTTAGGTTCTTAATGGGTAGTTTTCAATCATTCGTGGCTTATATTGACATATTTATCTCTCAAGTTCGGGATTAATAGCTTATCTATCTTTCTGATCCTGAATTATTACAAGCATACAATCGAATTACAAAAGGCAAATAAAAATAATAAATAATCAATAATACGATAATATAATATTTGGAACATTAAAATGGACTCATTTGTTAGTAAAAGAATACACCTGGTTTGGAGGAGAAATAGTTACTCCCTCCGTCCCGCTAAGATTGTCCCATTTTACCTTTTCGGGAAGTCCCACTAAGATTGTCCCATACCAAATTTGGTAAAGATTGTGTGGCTCTAAACCATTCTTACTTTATTCTTACTTTATCAATTTAATATCAACCACACAAACCTACTTTTCTTAATAATCGTGCCACCTTATTCCGTCCCAATCTTAGTGGGACGGAGGTAGTATATGCTATTTGATAAGATGAGTAATGTTTTTAATTTTATTTGGAGTATTTTCCCCATCAATAGTATCTAGTTCCGAATAGTATATATGCTTGAGATTCTATCTTCCTAGTGTTAGTACCCTTAGTTTATGTCATCACATTTTGTGCTTGAAAAGTTGTACATTGCTTTAAGAAAGTGAAACTTTACTTTTCAAGTGGCTTTTTTACCCTCTAACACCATTACTCGGTTGAACGATTTTCCATTAAACTCAAACGTGTGTACGTGGCCTTCTCTATGAGTTAGTCATCATTAATGACATGATATGAACTTGGCTCATGGATTAATATATTAATAAGTAAAAAATCAAATTCTATCACCGTATAACTTTGTTTATTGAGCAATTTTGATAATGCATACAACTCCTGGGATTCTCGGACTTTATATCACAAATAAATTTGGAATTTTTTAATTGTACAACTAAAACGATAATACGGAGTATAAATGTACACTATATATATATTAATAGTTATTATTGATATTTTATGTCAAATTACAAGTTATTAATGAATGTTGAGACAACGGTATAATTTAATATTATAGTCAAATTTGAGCTGAAATATAAAAGAACCAACAACTCGTTTCAAGATTATCTATTTTCCATCCAGAATTTACCCAAAATAGGACTAAAAAGGTTTGGAAATTCCAAAATAGGACTGATATGTTTTTATTTCCAAAATAGGACTAATTACTGTCACGTTTTGGCAGTACCAGACTTCAAACGTGACAGTATTTTCCAAACTTGGCAGTATTTTCCAAACTTGGCAGTAATTACTCCTATTTTGGGAATAAAAAACATGGCAGTCATATTTTGGAATTTTCAAACTGTTTTAGTCCTATTTCTGGAACTTTCCCTTTTCCATCCTAAAAGAAGATCCTTACTTTAAGAAAATAATTGCATTAATCTCGTTATTCTTCTATCATCTAAATATAAAGTAATAAAACATGGAGTACATCTTAATTGCATATTTTAAGAGCTCTTTCCAAAACTCCTATTTTCATTTTATCAATTTTATCTCCCAATTTTTTTGACAAACACATAACATTTGATTTCACGCGCTAAATTGTGTAATCAAAATGAATACAACTAGACTTACTTTTTTGAACACATTGGTTGATGAGGTTGTCGTGGAAGACAACTTTAGCTATTTTTATACATATTTTTCTTCGTTTTATTAATACAATATATTTAAAATATAAATATTTCATAATTTAGGAGATTCGGCCAGTTCATTTGATTCAATTATAAATGTTCGATAGATTCGGTCGATTTAGTCAATTTTTATGTTACCAAACATGCTTTAAAGTTTAATTCAAATCAAAGACTTTATGCTTACAAATACAAGCAAAACTGAAGAATCCACATTGTTCACTACAGCATGCATGTAATACTACGTATTCCATAGAGCATATTATGCACATTCGTCTCAACCATTTTTCCGAGTTTTTGTGGGTGTCGAATGTTGATATAAGCAATACCTCCTTTTGTATACACCAATTACCGTTAAATTCATTTAAACCACCTAAAATGACAAAATAGTCGTAATCATAGCCAATCCCCATATTATGTATAGACAATTTTTAAAATTGAAATCCATCTCTCCTTAATTAGAGAGTTTCTAAAAAGTTCTATAACTTTTTAGTAATATATTTAGAATTTTCTAGAATATTAAGGAAAATTCTCTATAAGCTTGAGGAATAGATTGAAACCTTGTAAAATATTGTGGATGGCTGGAACCTTTTAAAATCTTATGGAAGAGAGTGAAAGGATGTTAAGAGTCCTAGAGTGTGTAGAGCATTCTAAATAGGAATAGAAGGAACATTTTTGAAAGCACCTAAAATAAACTACTCAGAAAGGTATGCACACAATATCTCCTTGTTTGTAGAGCAACGCTATTTCGAAAAGCTTTTTATACTTCTGAACACTCGGCATCTACACTTTGTATATACCAGCTCAATATTAACATAATCTAGTGTGTTCAATACATTGTTCTCACAATTCATTGTAAAATCCTTTTGTCACTATAACTATTTCATAATTAAACCAAAAAATATAGCCAGCTCATTGAGTCACATAACTTTAAAAAACATAGGAAAAATTTCCACCCAATAGTTGGTGACTTCAGAATATAATTGATCAAACAATTCATCAAAAGTTTAGGATAATTTTATACATTATTTAAAAAACCTCATAGCAGTCTCACATTTAATAGTCTCTTAGATATATAAAAAAGAGCATGCATTAACATTGGACAAAAACTACCGTACTTTGCGCGATCAAAAACTAGTATAAATATATGTATAAATGATCATACATACAGAAATAATATAAAGGAATTAAATAAGATATGGAAGGAAAAATGGACTATGTGAAATTTTATTCTCCTTATGTCTCAAATTGATTTGTAAAGTCAACATTTTTTGTCAATTAATGTTTAATTTATATTTCTTCTATGAATAATTAACTCAAATTTTAATAATTAATATTTATAGAAACTGCATTAAAATTTCTATAAAGTCTCAAAGTCCAAATTAGAATAAAATTAAAAATTAAAATCTAATGAAGTGAATAAAATGAAACAACTTAATAAAAAAGTTGATTTTGAAATCCATTTGATAGAGAGGTAGCTTAGTACGTAGTAGTATGTGATTAGAAATGTTCTCAATATGAATTTGCCTTCAATAATTATTGGTGTACACAGTTTTACTATTTACACAATTTCACACATTGTGAACACATTGTGAAGGCTATTTTTGTCTGTACAAAAATAAAACATACGTGGTATTTTATTTGTTAACATTGTACTCCGTATTCACCGATAAAAATAAGCCTTCAGAGTTCAGACGCGTGTGTTGTCAGGTATGCATGTAAACAATAATTAGAGGTATATAGGTCATTAACTCTTTTTTTTTTTCATTTTCCTTTCTTGATGGCTTTGCTCGTTACGTTAACCCGTGTCGTTGATTTTCTACGAGAATAACTAAATTCTCTATGAAGTTTATGACAAGTTGATTGAGATTACCTTTTTCAAAGTTACTCCGTATTATATTTTTAAATATTTTATTTTATATAGAGCAGTTAGACAGTTAGTACTACACTTTACGTATATAACATTATACACTAAGCATTCAATTCGACCGATCTAATAATAAATTAAACTCACTCACCAAAAAAATGTTTAGGTGGTGATGAAGAAAATGACTCGTTTGTGTTCATCCAAATCCGTTGTTACCGTCAACGGAGAGTTCCCGGGACCCACCATCTACGCAAGGGAAGATGATACTGTGCTTATCAAGGTCGTCAATCATGTCAAATACAACGTCTCTATCCACTGGTAATTATCTTTAAACATATCACCTAATTCCTGTTTAGGTGGTGCAATGACAGCAGCAAGGCCGTTCCAAATATTTGAATGCCAATTAAAAGATTATTTCGCAACTTTTTATTTAATACGTGATTTTTGTTTTCACTGAATTGTGTAATAAGCAGAAAAGGTAAGATTGAAGTTACTTTCCTGGCTGTATTGGCTGAAGTTATTGTAGACGATCATTTTAGTTATTTTTACATATAATTCTTTCTTTATTTTACTAAAAAAATATATTTTAAAACTATTTTTTTCCTAAATCATTAGAATCAGCCAATGCAGCCACTTCAGCCATAACTTCATAAATTTTAGCAGAATCAGCCAAATTAGCCGATTTTCGTGCTACCAAACAGGCTCTTAAATAAATAATTAATTAAATATATTAATTCGAATATATTTTGAGAAATAATTTTGATGTGTATATAATAGTAGTATAATGGATTATTGATGATATTGTGATGTTATAAACGTATTATTTAATTTTCAACGATTCACTTTTTATTTTTGAGTGTTAATTGTTTGCTAAAATAGAAAATGAAAATCTTCAACTGGGTCTTTAAAAAAGAAAAATGACAACCTTTGAATGGGATGTGTGTACAAAATTAGGGATTATATGGAATAATACAAATAAATAAAATTTTGAGTATAAATATTAATATAAGCCTATGAGTATAATCTATTATTATAAATTTTAAGACTTTCTAAATATTAAATCTTCTAAATAGAGACTATAGAGAGAGGCTTTAATAGATGGTATGTCCTCGATATGTAACTAACAATCACTACAAAAACAGTTACGTGATTGACATATATTTTGTACAAATTGATAATGATTTTGTGTCAAATAGCTCGTGACAAAATGGTTTTGACACAAACTTGACATGTACTTGCCGAATTCTCTATGAATTTTGGCAAATTCTGTCAAAATCTGTGTGAATCCCGTATTTCTTTGTAGGGAATGAAGTATAATTGGTTACGTGCATGGTGCATGCAGGCATGGCATTAGACAGCTCCGAACGGGTTGGGCGGACGGGCCGGCGTACATAACACAGTGTCCCATAAGACCAGGGCAGAGTTATGTGTACAACTTCACGATTACAGGTCAAAGGGGCACCCTCTTTTGGCATGCCCATGTTCTGTGGTTAAGGTCAACTGTCCATGGAGCTTTGGTCATATTGCCTAAGCTTGGTGTGCCTTACCCTTTCCCCAAGCCTGACCACGAAGCCGTTCTATTACTCGGTATGTACGCACGTAGCGTATAATCCTAACCAACTTCTTACTTTACAACAAAGTCAAATGCATATGATCAACTAACTCTCTTAGTCTATTGTGGTCAAAATTATGCACTCAAATATGTGAATGTCAATCATGTGTAACTATAAATAAGAACAAATTAAAAGAGATATACTCCGTATATGTATTTACATTCACTACGGAAAACGTGGGTTGGCAAGGATTTTTGGCAAACCTTCCCTAAAATTCATAGACGATTTGATAGGGATATGCAAAATTTGTGTCATAAATATTTTGGCACGGGTTAATTGGCAAGAAATCATCCCTTAATCTATGTCAAATCCGCACTAATTCTGTAATTTTTTGTTGTGATGGTATAGTAGTACATACAATATGTATTTATTGTCCCAATTAAGTTTAACGAATAATGTAATTGTGCAGCTGAATGGTGGAAATCTGATACGGAGGCGGTTATCTCAGAAGCGCTCAAATCAGGATTAGCTCCAAATGTTTCAGACGCTCATACAATAAATGGTTATCCAGGGCCGGTTTCCAATTGTCCTACACAAGGTATAGATCACACATCATTCTCATTAATTATAAACTTGTGTTGTTGTACTGAAAATGATTGGAGAATGAATGTCAAATGAAAAATGTCATCATTTAATAAAAAATAATTGTGAGAATGCTTCCAAAGTATTTTCTTGTACTCCTAATTTCTAAACAAAAATGATCTTTACATCCACTCTTATACTCACTTTTGTACCCACCTATATATGTTTGTGAAGTGTTTTTTTGTCTGTGAACCCCGGTTCACAGACAATATTTTGAACAAACAAACAAAAATTCCACAAATATGATGGGTATAATTAAGGTGAGTATAATAGTGGATATATCTGGATCGTTCATTTCTAAAATCGAATTGAATCACACTTTTTGTCTGGAGTTTTGTGCTTCATAGTCGTAGAGTAATCCGTTCAAACTTCAGATAGAGTAGCTAGGCTTGCCATCTATTGAAGTATCAGTCTCAGCTCACTGTACCTTAAATTTTTTATCATCTTGAAATTTGTCACATCGCTAACCACTACATGTGTCCTTTTAATAAAGTTTTCATTTGCTTAAAAAATGTTCTAGTACTCCCTCCGTCCCCGAGTTATCTTCAAACTTTCCTTTTTCATCCGTCCCAAAATTATCTCCTTTTTCCCCTTTTGGCAAAGAATTTGTAGTTCACAACCATTCTTACACATTCTTACACATTTCTCTCTCATCTGCACAACTCTCCACCACACAAATTCAACTATCTTAATAAATGTGCCTAGCCGAAATGGGAGAAAATTTGGGACGGGGGGAGTAATCATTTAAATTATATCTCCTCCGTCCCAAATTAAGTTGCAAAATTGACTTTTTGGGTCAAAAAGATTGATTTTATTTACGTATTTAGTATTAATAATTTGATGTTAATTAAATTATAATTTGGACTTTGCAATTTTATAAATAAATTAAAGATTTTAATGTAGTTTGTGAATGTGTAAATTACAATTGTTAAATTTGAATTAATGATCGATCTGCGAGAGAATTTAACTTTAACATTGATTGACAAAAAATAATTGACTTTGCAAACAATTTAATTGGGACAAAGGTAGTAATAAATACAATCATACAAAATAGGGTCTTGATCCATCATTATTTGATTATAAAAAATGTTACTACCTGGGTCCCATTTTATGTGTATTTGTTTGACTTGGCACAATTATTAATGAAGTGGTTGAAAAAGTAAAAGTTGTGGTTGAGGTTTGAGTATAGTAAAATGAAATGGTGTAGGCCGCATATTTCTTTTCAAAAAAAAAGAAAGGAGATACTTATTTTGGGACAATCCAAAAAGAAAAAGCGGACAGGTAAAATGGGACGGGGATTAAAGAACATAATGTTAAGAGAAATAATACGTAGTACCAAGTATAAGTTTGTTCAAAAAAATGACTGTTTTGAAAAAACAACTCATTCACTCCTTACAATATAATTTACAAAGTTAAGATTTCTTTTAATTAATCAAATATTAAGAATGAATATAATTTGTGAACTTGTCCAAAATGTTGATAGATGGTCAACTTTAATCAATTCTGTCAACCAAGCATTGCTTTCTGGTCGTTTGTTCCAGGTGGATATAAATTAAGTGTGGAAGCTGGGAAGAGCTACCTGCTAAGGGTAGTCAACGCTGCACTCAATGAAGAACTCTTCTTTAAGGTTGCCGGCCATACGTTGACCGTCGTCGAGGTCGACGCCTCGTACGTAAAACCCTTCAAGACAGACACGATCGTGATAGCCCCGGGGCAAACCACCAACGTCATCGTCACCGCCGACAAACGTTCCGGCCAGTACATGCTGGCCGCCTCCCCCTACATGGACGCTCCGATCACCGTCGACAACCAGACCGCCGTCGCCACACTCCACTACACCGGCACCCTCACCGGCAGCCGCACAACCCTCACTTCCACGCCACCCAAAAACGCCACCGCTTTGGCCGACAAATTCCTCGACTCCCTGAGAAGTCTCAACTCCGAGGAGTTTCCGGCCAAGGTTCCTCAGAAAATTGACCACTCCCTCCTCTTCACCGTCGGGCTTGGTATCAACCCGTGCCCGTCTTGCAAACCCGCAAACGGAACCCGGGTCGTCGCCGGAATCAACAACGTCACGTTTGTCATGCCCACCACCGCTCTTTTGCAAGCTCACGTCTTTGGCATCAAGGGAGTGTTCACGGCCGATTTTCCGGCGAACCCGCCGTTTGCTTTCAACTACACCGGCGCCGGTCCGGCGAACCTCCAGACTTCAAAGGGGACGAAGGTTTATAGGCTGGGCTATAATGAGACAGTTCAATTGGTTTTACAGGACACCGGAATTGTTTTGCCGGAAAACCATCCCGTCCATTTGCATGGGTTTAACTTCTTTGTCATCGGAAAAGGGTTAGGGAATTTTAACCCTAAGAATGATCCTAAGAAGTTCAATCTCGTTGATCCAGTCGAGAGGAACACGATCGGAGTTCCGGCCGGCGGTTGGGTTGCTATCAGATTTCGTGCCGACAATCCAGGTGCTTACTAGTAACCACTTTTTTCAAATATTGAGCTTTATGGAAAAATATTACCACTCTATTAACGAAGTTTATTTACAAATAGAGAAAATGTGTAAATTGATGTTTAGTTGCTCTAAAGTTTTAAAATGTGTAGAATGATTCCTAAAGTTCATATTTTAGTTGCAAATTTATATTCAAATGGGGCACATACGGTATCGATTTTGAAAAATAGGATGTAAAGTCAAATATTACTCAGAAATGGGATGCAAGGTAAAATTCCCCATAGATGAATTTAAAAACATAAAAAAATCAAAAAAAAAATATTGAGTATACTGAGTGTAGAAAATAAGAAATACTTGTAAAAATTTTGATCAATCATTTTGTGTTCAATATAATGCTTTCTTATTCTTCTTAAATTAAAATATTTTGTAAACATAAAAAGAAGCATATATATTGAGCACAAAATAATTTTTAAATTTTTATTTTAATACGGAGTATATTTTTAATACTTCACGACATCAACCATAATTAGATGTTAAAGGTTTATAACAATTCTTTTTATGTTATCATCAATATCAAATCGTAGAGTTTACTCTTACTCTCTTACACGATTGTACCACATATATATTGCGATTATTATTTTGCAGGAGTATGGTTCATGCACTGCCATCTTGAGATACACACAACCTGGGGATTAAAGATGGCATTCCTAGTGGATAATGGAAAGGGTCCAAACGAGAGTGTTTTGCCCCCACCAAAGGATCTTCCCCAGTGTTAATTAGAAGAGCTGGCCGGGGATAATGACCACGAACAGATGCACAAAAAAAGAGTTGATCGATGACAAATAATATACTTTTAATAAAAGAGTGACCAATTATGGGAAGACAAATTAAATAATATACTTTTTGTTGAGTGAAGAAAATGTTTGCTCAAGCAAGTTACTAATAGTTACATTCATTTTTTGTTTATTTGTTTGTTTGTAATAGAGTTGGGATCAATCATCATGTATCTTTGGATCAAATTCTTTTCTCAATATCACAGGTTCAGTACTCGTTACTTTTAAAGTGTCGTTTGAGTTAGAGTTCATCCAATCTCAGTGCAAGTGCTATATAACTCTATATACCACTGCTAGAAAAACATGCTTACCCTACAAAATTTTCACATACAAAAACAAATTGTAGCTTAATGTATCTTTTCATGACAAAATAATTAATTTGTTGGCGTAGTACTTTAACTACAAACATTATTTTTCCATACAAAATTTGTTTGTCTACAAAAGCTCCCATCCTTTTCTAGACAAAAAATTATCTTATGGTGCTAGAGCTTTCTCCACAAAATTGTTAGCAAACAAAGGACAAACTTAATTAAATTTGTAGTCTAACCAAACTTTTTGCTTTAAAAGAAATAATTTGTGGGTTTGGCTTAGCTAGGGATAGAGTGGGACGGGTTGGCCCGGCACAGTACTGTTTAGGCCCGACCCGGACCCGGTTGATCGGGACCGGTACCAACCCAGGCCCGGACCGGAGGTTTAACGAGATGGGACTCACGCTAAACAATATAATAATGGTTTGGTCCAGCCCGGCTCGACTTGGGACCGGGCCTAATATATGGCTATAATTTAAAAAAATGGGTTTTTCTTCTTTAGTATCGGAGCCCGACCCAAGTCTACCGCTAGTATTTAATCCTTCTCCACCCAAAATAGTTGTCGAAAAAACTCATTTTGTACACAAAAATATACTATCGTATGTTGTTGAGCTAGCCCTTTCTTACAAAAGTGATTGGCACAAAAATACTTCGTAGTATATGTTATTGAGCTAGCCCTTTCTTACAAAAGTGATTGCCACTCAAAGTTTAATGCATAAGGAAACATTACTTTCCCAAATAATAGTTAAATCTCACCCATTGCATGCATGAGTTTCCAACATAAAACTTTATGAGTTTTAAATGACTATACAGAGAAACACATCTTTTGTCCAGAAATTACAATGTCAAGGGAGAGCTAGCTAGAGGCTTGCACTTATGAATATTAAAAAAGACACATAATATACTATATACGAAGTATATAGTTTTTTACATTATTAATTGGCTAAATATGATTAAATTTGACTGAAGTGACTGAATTGAATGGATGTGTTGTATTATGAAAATATATTCAAAATACTCCATTTTATTGATAAAATGAATAGGGGAGGCAACCTAGGCGCCGACCCACCTCAAATTTTAAAAAAAGAATCGTGTAAAAATGTTCTAAAACTATTCTTTGTACCGGCTTATTCTGGTTCAATGGCCTAGCTCCGACCCTAACTAAAAACATAATTGTCAGTAACTCCAGTTTGTTCAGCCATAAAAGTAACTGCAACCTTATTTATATTAGTTATTTTACAATTCAATCCGCAAAATCAAAATCAAAATAGTTGAATTGGCTAATGAAACTTATATGAAGAAATTAGATGTCACTAAACGTGTTCCTTGTACTACGTGATTCCTAATTATTAATTGGAGTAATATGCTATTGTTTTAATAAAAGTATATTCTTCCTCCGTTCCCTTTTACTTCCAACAGTCAACATTTCATGTTTGCCAACGCACAAGTTTGACCATTAATATCTTTTGTAAAAATTTTAAAAAATTCATATTTTGAAATTTTAGAATGAGAAGAATTTAAAAATATTTTTAAAAAAATTTAATTTATCATACATTAATTAATACTCCCTCCGTCCCCTTTTAAAAGTCCCGGAAGAAGGTGGCACGGGTTTTAAGAAAAGTGGGTTTGTGTGGTTGATATTAATTGATAAAGTAGGAATAAAGTAAGAATAAAGTAAGAATGATTTTGAGCCACACAAACTTTACCAAATGAGGTATGGGACATTTAAATAGGGACATCCCAATATGGTAAAATGGGACATTTAATTGGGGACGGAGGGAGTAAAATAGAGTCAAAGTAGAATATGTGAATAGTGCAAAAAGTCCAATGTTGCAAGTAAAAGAGAACGGAGGTAGTATATATTTTGTAAATGAAATATGGAGTACATATAAAACTTAAAAATACGGAAATGAGATAAAACGCTAAGTGGCTAACCATGCAGGAACAAAGGACGGAACAATCCTAAGGTACTTGTTGAATACTATTTATTTTGTTGATGACTAAATATGATACTGTCCTCACTCGTGCGCGCCTTGAGAAAATTTCCAGAGGGTCACTCATCCCATGCCAAGACAACTCCCGTGCAAGCATGCTTAGCTGATGAAAACGGTTAGCAACACAAGAGGGGGGGTGAATTGTGTGTGTGTGGAACCGTGGTAGTTTTTCGCCGAGTTCTAGTGTGGGATAAAGGGAATTGCAAAATAGTAAAGTGCACAAGAATTTAACGAGGAAAAATCCCTTGGCTCAAAGGGATTAAAAAACCTCGACCTCCCTCGGAGGAATTTTAAACAACTTCACTAAACAAGCCTTTGAAAGAGTTACAAGAGTGATTCTCCTAATCTACCCTTGAGCCTCCCCAACTCTATCCTCTCTAGGAAGAGTTATGCATCTCTACCTTGCGGGTAGAGAGCCTCTTAGCTTTGTCACAAAGCTCTCACACACACTTAACCCGAGGCAGCTACTCTAGCCAATTAAGCCTCAATAGTCCAAGTACAATATGAAAGGGAAAGGAGAAACTCTATCTAGAACTCCGAGCAGGCAGTTTCAGTCGCCAAGGACTTGATCTTTTCTTGAATGATTCTTCTAAGTATTTTTCTCGGTTCAGCACACACTTCTTCCTCTTGGTTCTCGAATATATAAGCCACTTTGATTTGTCCGTTGGTGTCTCTTTCCTTAAGAAATTGAGCTTCCATACTTGGAACCTGCCTTGATATTATTTGAATTGCTTTCCTTCTAGTAGCCCGATCTCTCTTATTCATTCTCAAATATGAGTAAATTGACTCATGATTCACGAACCATTATATAAGGAAATAATATTGATTTACTTAACATGTAGGCATGCAACGGACATGTGTAGCAATAAAATATTTATGCAATCACTTTCAAGTAAAGCTACTTTAATATCTTATTCGAAAAGCTACGGTTAACTTTTATTAATATGGCAATCAAATGAAGATGACAAGATAGCATAATATTATAGAGAAGGAAGTAGTATATTGGCTTGTCAAATATAAGCATGCAACGACCCAAATATTACTAGCAAGTCGAGATTCCTTTCCAAGGGAGATTTAATATCTTAAATCAAGGATATCTTTTCAAACCATGAGGTAAAAGAATATTTACTTAACAAATATACCCTATGGTCAAGCTTCTCTAAAGATAGCAACGTATTGTCTAAAGCAAAGATTCTTACCATTTAAAATATTAAGCTATTAAGGTCAATTTACTTGAGTGATGTCTAATCATGCAATCATTAATATAGCAAGTAAGGATACTTTTCATAAAGTAAAAAGCTATACATTCCATAAAGTAATATTATATCACTCAAATAAGCAAGTTACGTATACATCAACAAGCACTCGTAAGGAAAGCACTTTAATTTTCAATTAAGTAGGTGCAATCAATATTAATTCAAACCATATCACAGAACTAGAACTGGGAGCGGTTCTGTTCGCCGTTCCACCTGCATGGTTAGTCATCAACAAAACAACATATTCAACAAATTCCCCCTTTTTGTTGATGACAAACATTAGGTGCGATAATAGAGGTGTCCCTAATTTTTCCCCCTTTTGTCATTCAACAAAAGGAATAAAATTAATGCCCAAATTAAAATATCGATTTGTTCCCCCTTAGATGAGGCCGGAAGGTCCTGCATACATTCTTCACAATTACTAAGAGAGATTAGTTCCAGTGATTCCCATTATTTTAGGAAATAAGAAGTAGAACAACTAATTTAGGAATTAATTAGACCGAGTTCCAGTCTAATTAGTTCAAACCTTTCTCTTCCCAGAGGCTTGGTAAGGATATCAGCTATTTGTTTCTCGGTGTTGCAATATTCCAGCCTGATTAACCCCTTTTCCACGCAATCTCTCAAAAAGTGATGTCGTATATGAATATGTTTCGTCCGAGAATGCATGACCGGGTCCTTTGATATGCTAATTGCACTTGTATTATCGCATAGGATGGGTGTGCACTTTAAATCAACCCCATAATCACTTACTTGTTGCATGATCCACAATGATTGAGAGCAACAAGATGCGGCTGCTACATACTCAGCTTCGGCTGTTGAAAGAGCAACAAAATTTTGTTTCTTTGAGCTCCAAGAAACTAGACAGGGACCTAGGAAGTGAGCCGTTCCAGATGTGCTTTTTCTATTTAGTAGATCACCTGCAAAATCAGAGTCTGAATATGCAATAAGGTTAAAATCATCATTACGAGGATACCATAGGCATAACTCAGCAGTTCCTTTGAGATATTTGAGGATTCTTTTCACAGCCTTGAGGTGAGATTCTTTGGGATTAGCCTGGAACCGAGCACATAGACCTACGCCAAAAACTATGTCAGGTCTACTGGCAGTGAGGTACAGTAGGGACCCGATCATTCCTCGATACATCTTTTGATCTATGCTTTTTCCTTGTTCATCCGCGTCCAGCCTATCATTTGTCCCCATGGGTGTAGTCATAGTTTTTCCTTCACTCATCCCGTACTTCTTTAGGAGTTCCTTGAGGTATTTTTGTTGAGATATTTGAGTTCCTTTGCTTGATTGCTTGATTTGTAGGCCAAGGAAGAAATTAAGTTCCCCCATCATACTCATCTCAAATTCGGAACTCATAAGAGAAGAAAACTCATCACAAATAGATTCGTTAGTAGCACCAAAAATAATATCATCAACATAAACTTGAACAACCAATAGGGCTTGATCTTTTATTTTTAGAAACAGAGTTTTATCTATTTTTCCTCTTTCAAAATTGTTTTCCAAAAGAAATTTGGATAGGCGTTCATACCAAGCACGAGGTGCTTGTTTGAGGCCATAAAGTGCTTTATCTAATTTGAAAACATGATTAGGAAAATCTTGATTTTCAAAGCCCGGTGGTTGTTCTACATATACCTCTTCCTTTAGATATCCATTCAAGAAGGCCGTCTTGACATCCATTTGGTGGAGGGT